GAGAAACAAGTAGGCTAGCTGATAGGGTTGTGGTCTTGTGTTTTAATGTCGTAAGATCAGAGATAAGGCATATTATTTTATTTCCTATGCCTGTCCATTAAATCAATCTTAGCTTTTAAGTCCTGAACTAGACGGAAGTCATACAGAATGCAACTAAAAGGGAGGTAAAAACATAGTTCCAACCCAACCCCCACTGATCTCTCTCAATCGCTGACCCTTTCAGTGGAATTTTTTTCATTTTCAATATGGTAAAGAAAAAAATGTGAAGTAAGCACTTTGAAATGCATCCTACATGTCTATGATGCTGCCAGAAGATTGCTCAGAGTGCTGTATACATGCCTACCTTACAGACTTGCTGTCTGATGAGGGCTAGGCAGTGTAGATGTGTGCCACTTGTTGAATTGTAAACAAAAAGATTATTGGCACAAGGATCTACTTGTTATATGATGAACTCTCTCTCTCAAAAAAAAGATCTTAACTATGATCTATGCAGAACCATTCTATTTAAAAATTGTAGCATTGTTAAGTTTTATCTTCACAGAAAGTTTATTTGGTTGTTTAAAGTATCGAAATTCTATTCCACTTTGCGAGACTCTGAATAGATATATGTTTACTAATTCCTAAAAGATATTTATGTTGATAAAATGATTTTTTTTATAGATGGGAATGTTCTTTATAGATCTGACAAGTCCTCAAGCATCTTTTTTTTCTGTTGTATATAAAAAAAAAACAAACAAAAAAACACACACACAGAGAGAAACTGGTTAGATCACATTATGACCTCTGAGGCAGATATTTTTTCCCTATAATGTAAGTACAGTTGCATATATCATATACATGTAAGCATTTTCATACTCATTATCAACAAAGAAGAAACGTGAAGTGTTTAGTTTTAAAAAAAACTATACTTTCTATTAGATTTCAGACAGTTACATGCATATGGCCTTGAATAACAATTCTTTTCCCTGTCTGCAAGTAAGAATTGGGTTTCTGAGGCAGTTGTTAGACGTAAATGATGCAAAATATATCTCTTAATATGTTTCTGGATTCATAGGAAGACGTTGAAGGGCAACCTATGTTAGTTTTGTAGCATGTTTACTTTGCAGCAGGTGATAGATGATGACATTTATTGTGAAGTATAATGATGAACACAAATTAAAGTCATGTTGGCACAGACATTTTAAAGCTCATAAAATCTACCAAGCTCGGTCAGGATTAAAAGCAATGGTGTATTATTGCCACTGTGACAAGATAATGTTGTACTGAAGGTCATGGCCATAAAATTATGCTTAATATCAGATAGAGTTATATCCCTTTGGATACTAAGCAGTGTGTTTTTGTTTTAACCTAAGTGATGCAACAGTGTGGAGTTATATGTTTTCAGCTGATGCAATGTTTACATATGTAAATAACAGCTACAGGATTGCACAGGGGATAGACTTCTACTCTGCAGAAAATATAGAAAATATAGGCCATGTACAAAAATAAATGTAAGAAATCGATCAAAACAATGACTCATCACTGTATAATTGGGACCTCTTAGATTAATGATTTGGGTTTATATATTACTGCCAGAATCAATCTCATGCTTTTTGCAGTATAGTCGGAACAGATTAGGAGCAATGATGGACTTAAGTTGGAAGGTTAAGAATGTTTTCCATTAATAAGGTCACTTTCTGCGTATTCCACACAGTTTGTTTACTTCATAATTTTCTTCTAATGTTAATAAATGCCTAAAGGGAAAGTTAAGAGAGGCATTCACAGAGGTGGGTTGTTTACAAAATAAAATGTTATCTGAATTTTTTATGTGCCAAAGGTTAACATCGAGGGCAGAGGGAACATATTGTTTCTGCATGAAAAAGTTTAAATGATGACTATTGCACACTACGCTGACACTAGCTATTTATGATTTTTTGGCCCAGCATAAATTCTGAAGCTATATATACATACAGATATAGTCCAAGAGGGTGAAGAATTGTTTCAATAATAAGATAGAGAAGACGAGGAAATAATTTATGCAAGATAAAACATATGTGATATATATATATATTCTTGATGTATCTTCATAAGAGATAATTTACTGCAGGTTGCAAATTATCTGACTTGCATGCGATTCAGCTTTGTGTATAAAAGTATGAGCATATCATATGCTGCTCTCATAACATATGACAGAATGTCACGCAGCTCTTACAAGTGTGTACTTTTGGTCCAGCTTATTTATGAATATCATTTAGACTGTACGACGTGTCTTACAAACAGATGAGTGTCATATTACTTTAGTGTATATATAATTAAAACAAACAAACAAAAGCTCAGCAATCTCCCAGGCTTGTGATTTTATGTTTGTGATTATACATTTAATATTGAACAGTGTATAATCCAGGCCCTTCCCCTTATTATTTGTGTTAATTTTCCCAATTGTGACTTCCTCCAAAAATTAAAAGGATTAACATGCAATAAGATATGTAATTACTATAAAGCTTGTTATTCATATTCTTCTATATTTCAAATCAGAAATTTATAAAGTTGATAATAAACACTTGATTGCAGAAACCCAATATGTAATGAATTTAATGTATGTGAGATTGTAATGTGTATTTATAAGATTTTCACAAAATTTCTAAAAGGTTGTTAATTTTCCCAATTTTTACGACCCTGGCCCCTGCAGTCCATAAAAGTTGTGTGAGAGTCCATGCAGGTATTTATCAATACCAATTGGTCTGGTTCATTCTTGTATACACCTGTTATATTGAACTACATTCAGCTTGATATATTTTCAAAGATATTTTTAAAGGTACATTAATGTGTTCAACATACTTTGTTTAGGAAAGGTGACATTGCTGTTTTTATGTGGCTAAAAATAACTTTTTGTGGATTTATAAAGAACTTCCTACAACAAGCTGACAATTAAAACAATGTCAACGATCAACTGCCAACACATAAATTGAGGTGGAAAACTGTTAATTAGTCTTCACCAGTTGACTCCTATTATTTATATCCTGTAATTTTGAAATTTATTTCCATACTACATAGATATATTACTATATATTGCATGAAATTAATTTCTGTGCCACTTAATACACTAGCTGTGTTGCATTGTGTCAAGTTTGCCATATTATAAATTTAAACTCTAAAGAAAACATTTTGAAAAAATTAACACACACAAATTACTGATATTATATATACTATAAACTTGTAAATAAGAAGTATTATTATTTCAGCTTACTAGGGTGTTGGTGCCTTTCATTTATGAAATGTGTCATAAAACAAGAAAACATTACACCTCCCTGCAGGTGGTTTTTTCATTAATTGACTTGATTCTTTAATCCCTTTAATAAATGCTTGTTTACTTCAGGGCCTATAGGCAGCTTGAAGCACCCCCAGAACAAAACTATTGATCTAGTGACATAAGGCCCTTTGATAAAGTGTTATTAGAGGTTTTGTTTATGTTATTGAGACCCAAGACAAACCCATGATTATAGTGGTTGACTTTTCCTGTCTGTAAGTGATGGATCCCTAATGTTTTTGTCCATAGAACTATAGGGAGTAAATCCTATCTTACCAGTGGGGTATATTTGATTAATAAATCCCTGATTATCCAGTTGTATGGGTAAAATACATGATTGTAAAGATAACAGTAAATTGTTTATTCTCAACGTACTAGTTAGTAGTACTTGTACTCAGTTTGTTTTACATTGAATAGAGAGAAATTATATAAAAGAAAAAGTATGGCAGCTAGTGTATACATGTACCATATTTGATGCCAACAATCAAAAGTCAGTCACTACTAAAGATCATCCCAAATCAATTATTGATTACAATCTTCATAATCATATTGACTAAATTGAAAAAAAAAAATGAAAACATGATCTAAAGAACCTTTAGAAATAACTTTGTACACATGTTGTAGTAGCCATACACTTTCATATATAGTATTCCCTTTAACTGAAATAGTACAATATTATTGTTGAAATGAGCAATGTCATTTACAAATTGTTATACTATCCATTGGCACATCTTTTCCTTATTATTGTAATAATTTCATACTTGTCTGTTATGGGCTCTAAATTAGAAAATAAATGTTCTATTCTGTTCTGTTCTATGTTTTTCGATATTCTTGACTTTTCATCTGTGAAACTGATGGTGGTGCCTTGTACAGCAGCTATGGACTGGAAGATTTAAAGATTACTAGTATTATTTACAATTAAGTAAACACAGAAGAATTTTGATAAGTAAAAAGTTTGGGCTTTTCAGTTCTTTAATCATGCAATGATTGACTTTTAATTATAAAGTATAAAACTTTTGATTCCCCAGCACTAGTATTATACAAGTATTTGGGAAGAGATTCAATTTTATAATCATGTTAATTTACTAAAACATTGGACACAAATCAGACAAATTCTATGCATTAATTGCTTGAGTAAAAAAAATATAATAGAGTCTTGGAGATACCTCTTTCTAATGCATCTATGTTGTATGTATGAACAAATTTTACAGGTAAGATGTTGGATATATGAACAAATTGTACAGGTAATGTGAAGTCTTACCCTTATCTGAGGATTCATCATTGGAAAGAATTAACCTCACCTGTTAATTAATTAGCAATTTTTTCATATCCTCTGTAATGATTTGATATATGTCTTAATTCACACCCTTTATTTTCATTAACACCTTCTTTAATTTTTCACAGGATGGGAATTAAATTATGAGAAAATAATGAATGTGTGTCACAAAGAAACTAATTAAAATCCTGGAAAGAGTTAATAAGATGTAATGAATGTTACATAATATTCCCTTTAAGAAAATGGACCAATCTAAAAGCAGAGAAACTGTGACAGGTCATTAATGAAATGTCTGTGATGTAGGGAACAGTTATATAACCTAGAGATGGGTTTTTTGTATCTTTATGGATGACATTAAGAGGAAAAATCTTCCTCATGTATGTAATTAATTCCAGCTAATCTTCTGTCAGCTTGAGTAAATATTTCTTGCTTTGGTAGATGGTGATTGTAAATGAAGGGCCTGGGACTTGAACTCTATTGGAAAGACACCATGAGGAGAGGGTCTATTGGGTGATGATGTAACCTTACCACCATTCTTAACTCCACCAAAAGAAGAGCCAGCTGGATATCTAACCATTAAGGGGTAATGACCCATGTACCAGAGAGATAAGGGTGACAACTCTGCATGCATCATTAATGGGCCCACTTTGCACCTCCATATATTGAAGATTTCCATTACTGATAGAAGAATAACTCTGTCCAGGCTAATTGTTAGGATTCAATGGGTTCTGAACCAAAAGTGAGAAAAACAACAAGTTATTATTGAAACACTCTTTGATGTTTCTTTTAAATTGCAATCTACCGGTATTAATTTTAGTTTAAGATGGGTATGAAAAAGGCATTAGATCATTAAAAGGCTAGCTTTCACACTGCATACTGTCTAGTTTTCACAAAAGCTATGTTTGTGCATGAGGTAAACTAAAATAAAAAAGCAAAATAGTAGGCCCAGAATTGTCTAGACCAGCTTTCATTAAATAGGATGCAGTGAATAGTGTGCATAGTGCACCGTGTTTGTCTAATTTCCTTAGAACTTTCACAAATAATTTATCATCATCAAACAGGAGTATTGCATGAAATACTGACTTTTCCTGTCGATGATTATACCAGTTAATATTGTTAGGGGTTGAAGGTTCTATGTAGTGTTCCATCCGTCACTCATGTATTTATCTTTTAACCTATCTGTCACTCATTCTCTGACTTGGAGCTGAAAAGTGACGAAACTAATAATGCTTCATTTAAATAATTGAATTTGTATTTCCTACATGTGTGGAGAGGATTAGGGGAGGCCAAATTTCAATAGTATTTATTGGTGGGTCATTAACTGACAAGAGAGAAATCTATTTTGTATGAAACATGGGGTCCTGATGTTATAGTAGGAAGTTGTTATGGACAAAAGGAAAGATCAGAGTAGAAAGACATGAGAAACTACATGATGTGCATGCCAATAAATTTCTTCAGGCATTTTTTTCCATACTTGATGTATTGAGGGAGAGCAATTGTGTTTTAGGGGAGGGGGTGTTATATTCAATATAAATTGTAGATAAATGATGAACTGTACTTTATGCAATTATTAATTTATTGATTTGATACATAGATATGTTAAAATTCTGTCCCCATTCTTTGAATAATTTGGTGACATTAGGTAACTGCTTTTAGTTCAAATGACCATCAAGAGTAGCCACAAATGCTTGAGATTTGAATGATTTCATTCATTGGTTCAGGAGGTTTTTATAAATGTATGTAAAGAAAATGCCTCTCATCAGAAATCAATCGGAGTCAATCTGAGAGTAGTGAGCCAACACCCCTATCAGTGTTAGTGTGTGTGTACTTGTAGAAACCTTGAAATGCTGTAGTTCATTTGTTTGTTTGTTGTTTAACGTCCCTCTCGAGAATTTTTCACTCATATGGAGACGCCACCACTTGCCGGTGGAGGGCAACAAATTTTGACCTATGCTTGGCACGCAGGGCCATTGAGCAGTGAGGGACCTTTTTCGTGCCAGCACTTACTGCGACACGGGACCTCGGTTTATACAGTCTCATCCGAAGGACCGGCCTCTACATCCTGCAGTGGGATTCAAACCCGTGACATAAGGATCAACTCCTTACTCCTCGACTCTAGAGCAAATGCTCTAACCACTGCGCCACGCGGGTGACTAGTTCATTTGTAAGCCATATCCACATATATTATGGATTCATTTCTTAAAAAAATCTTTTTCTATGTTTTGTAAGTATATAAATATCAAACCATGGTATAGATGCTGGTGGTGCCAGTTACAAATCGTTCTTACACCTTCCTGTGTTTTGAGTGCAGTGTAGTAAATCTACCAACTGTCTCCTCTCGTTCTGATTATCAGTCACATCCTGAGAAAAAAAAAAGATAACGCCTGTCAAAAAGATAGAAATCTAGCAACCATCAAAATGATGACTTTAATGTGCAGCAAGCTTCCGTGCACACTTCATGAACCCTTTAGGTTTTTGTGCAATTTTATATGCACATTCAGCAGATCCAATTTATTTCTAGTGGAACAGAATTTTAATTAGTTTGATCAATCTTTTCTTTAAATAGTCTCTCAAGTCCGTACTTTTGTCTTGAGTTTTCTTAAAAAGCTGCTTTCTGGTGCATACAGGAATGCATATTAAGTTTTCTTTAGCAGTACGATAAGAAAATGCGCAGATCTGCACATTGATGTAGTATCATATGATCTGTTTTGTGGTATAGCTAGTGTCAAGCAAGTAACAACATTTTGCCCACTTGAGGTTACAAACTTAAATCTATTCAAAGACTGTTTGAAGATAAAATTTTCTTGATAATTAAACCTAAATCAAGAGGAAAGTGAGTTGTATAACTGAATTTGACACATACATGATATGATCATAGAATAATAACAGCTAAGAAAAAAAGATTTAGAAACACATGCCTCATTACACACTCCATTGAATTGGAGAATGAAAGTGTGTGAAATTGAGATTTAGATAACCATTTTAGAATTTGTGAAATCTATTGTCTAAATATTTTTTGTACTTTGCATATCATAGGGTCATTTTTTAGGTCATGGGCCTTTTGTAATCTGTGTAATTCTATGAACTTGTGGACACTGTGTAAGGTGATTGTGTTTAGGCTTTGAGGTTATGGAACTGGAATCCAATATCAGGAATCAATCGCAAGTAAATTAATGGAATGCTACTAGATAGAATTAAAAGTCCTTTTATTCTCTTTACTTTGTGGTTTGAGGGTTTTTCTTAAATTCCTTTGTATTTTTCCTGTGCAAATGACTTGGAGCAGAAAATAAGTGAAATGCAGAAGTATTTTATTTTTGATGAATCAGTCGTATCATCCATTTCTTGATTTGTGTTTTCTTTGTTTGGCTGCCAATGAAGTGAAAACATTGTTAAACTCTTAATACTGAATTACCAATTAAAGTTTTTTTCTCTGTCTGAAGACTAATAAAGTGTTTGTTCAACAGAAAAGGTCACAATTGAATGACGCCCTCATGATGTGACAGATCTCAAGTTTGATGACAATTACATCTTATGCAAGAGGGGTTACAAACAAAAAAAAATGTTAAGCCGATGAAAGGTTCTTTTTGGGTAATTTGCTTGAAGGGCAGAATTGAATGCAATGAAATAAGAAAGCTTTCAGGATTGGTTGCACGATAGCTGTTTAAACTTGTTCATCAAGGGCCACAGGTCCATCAATTTCTACCTCTTTGGTGACCTTTTGCTAAAATTAGTCTTGTTTCCTTGTTCTTTCAGGCTAAATCTGACATCCATTGCCTTGACAGACAAGATCACATGTGTTAGAGCTCATCCATTTACTGTCATCAAAGTTCCTCAAATCTAAAATTTTTGTCCATTTGTGCATTGTACCCTGCCTTGTTTATAAGGTAAATATATGTAAAACAACTAAAGTATTGATGAGCTGTGTAGATTAAAAGATTAATTGATGTGCAACCTTCCCAGGTAGAAAAGAGTGCTCTGTGTTATATACTAGATCCATCATGACAGGGAAATCGGTCTCTCTGTGTCACAAGGTAAATAAGTAATATAGGTACAAATACTAGTTTGCTTTATCATGATTTGTATCACTCTGAAAGTCTTTTATGTAGTCCTGATGTTGCCTCCTTCCACTTCTAGACTTATAAAATTAATGTTATAGTTCCATGAAGATTGTATTGATCAGCTAGATTCATGGGCATTGGAAGTTAAAATAAATATCGAGTATGTGCATGTGTAAAAGGTCCTCTTTTTTTGAACATGCACATACTCAATATATTTACATTAACTTCCAGTGCCTGTGGCTAAATTGAGGAAACTAAGATGGATATTGAGAGTTGAGCATAGATTTGTTATTAGTTGGATGGTCACAAGCATTGTCTTTGTCTAGATACAGGGTTGAGCTAGATTCTCTGAATAGATTGAGATGGAGCATAGATTTGTTATTAGTTGAATGGTCACAAGCATTGTCTTTGTCTAGATACAGGGCCGAGCTTAATAAGATACTTTGAATAGATTGCGATGATTAAAATATGAATTCCTGGTCGTCTGGAAGACACCATTTTAAACCAAGGTCACATGAGGCAGTAGGTGCTGACACAAAACAGATCCCACACTGCATAATTAGTACTGAGAACAGGTCTGAAACTTCCACAAGCATTTGAGGGTGTGCGAATATAACTAAAATTCTTGAAGGCCGGGACATAAAACAAGCAAACAAGCAAAAACCAAAGAAATAGTTAATTCTGAAATTAAAGGAGTTGCACGTAAGAAAAAATTAGATGCTAGGATACTTTGAAATTTGAATTATTCATTGTTTTCTCAAATTCAGAATCCTATATGATATCAGTGAATTTTTTAAGGGCCCTGCTCTGCAAGTACCCTGTAGTGATCGATCCGTCAGTCAGTCTGTCCATCCATCTGTCCATCTGATTTCATTAGTCAATAGCATATTTTCTCTCCCTATGGCCCTGTTGGGTTCAAACTTCACCCATAAAGTGCTTTTGAGTAGAGGATGTGCAGTGTTCTTGAACCAAGTTTCTAGGCTAATGGTCAAGGTTATAGCAATTTATAGCACCCTGAGTGCCCTTGGATAAAGGGTCTTTCATTCTTATGTCCTTTGCCAAAAGCGCGACCCTTTGAGATGTCACCATCTCGATGATGTCTATAGTTTTATTCGTAGAAAAAAAAAAAAGATTCCATACTATAATAATCAGTTAAAATCAATACTTTCTGGGAGCAAAAAGTAAATGAAAAGATTATGAAACTCATCACATCAAAGTTGAAATTGTTTAGAAAAGTAAGGATTGTAGTAGTTTTAAGTTGATACAAGGTGAAATTCAATTGATCTTCTTGTAAATCTTAATTTGGTAGTATGGGGATTAAAGTTCTCTGCAGAATGTTCAAAGTTGGCTTTTGATCTGCGGATTGGATTTGTGAGTCATTATAATGACAGTAACACATAAAGTACCTACCATTGTCATATACTGTTTGTCAGAGATCGTAACTACAGTAAATTGTCCATATCGCATTTCAACCACTGAGTCTTATATGTATTGTGTGCCACGCAATCGTTGTAAGTTATTTTGAACTGATGTTTGAATTTTATTTGTCTCAAAACAAAACTGTTTTAATCATAGGACCAGGACTTGGATAAAATGTCCAGAAACTGTTTGCAAGAAGAGTTTAATTTGTGTGTCAGGGGATTTTAAATTGGTCATTTATAAACAATTGGCAGTTAATTTGTAACAAGAGGTTATCAATTCCCATCTTGACCCTGTCACATTTTGTGTTGATGCAGCACAATTTTAACTGATAAAATTTCAAGGGAGACGTCAACACCTCCAAAATTAAAGTTTTTCTTGGGTTGGATTAGATTTAAAAGTCCTTGTGATATATGTGAAAATCTTGTGACATGGCTAAAGGCACTATTGAACTTTACTGAAGTAACCCTTGTCCTCTTATCAGTAAGAATAATTAAACCACTTTGATGTCTAATGAGATACAACTGATTTGGTTGGTTGTTTTTACGATGGATCTTTGGAGCAACACATGACTAAAAATATTTCTATTGGCAGGACAAAAGAATCAAATTCTAAATATACAACTGTTTAAAGAGATTAAGTAAAGCATTTCCTCTAAGAGCCAAAGAAAGGAAGTATTTGTTTTAAGCAAAATATCTTTACTCAAAGTTATAGTTGGGATTAAAGGCAACATTGATTAAGAAAATTTGGCTCCATCTCATGCAACAAGGGTCACGGACATAAGGTGAACATTTGTTCTATGGGTTTATATATTCAGGGGCCAAGATTTTTATCAAATAAACTTCAAACACATGTCTGATGGAACATGGGGGCTATACAGCCTTTATAAATTTGTATTGGCCTGTTCTGGTTTTTATGGCCAGCTCCATTATGTTTGTATGTAGGCGAATTTTGCAGATTTGCTAGGTATTTAAATGCTGCTCTCTTTCATACTGAAAGAATTAAAAGTGCCTTGATAGCTCACAAGGTTTCTAAAACAATAGGTGGAGACCAAGCCGAATCAGTCTGAGGCGAAAGAAAACTACAGGGGAAGACTAGATGTTTATCTTGGCATGCTCACACTTGAAGGGTGTGTTTTAAAAAATGCAATTGTCAGCAATATATAATTAGGCTTTCTTTTCTCTTTCTCTCTCTCTCTCAAATGCACACATTCTTGGTTTGATTGACATTTTGTGTAAAATGTTGTTTTACCAAACTAAACTTCTAATGTTTAATCAAAATATTAAAATGGCAGAGGATTTAGACCCTTATATATACAGTTGCTAAATACATTAGTTTGATATGAAAGATACACAAATAATATTTTCTATGTTACATAAACAACAATTCATGTTTCATTAGCAAATGCATGCAAAGATTTCTGACAAGAAAGCCCCTAAATCTGAATAGCTTAAGTGAATTAGTGGATTGACTAGGTGTAAGAATACACAATTGGCTTCGTCTGTTGCATTGTGGTTTTGTTTGCAGAGGTAATTGCAGATAAGATTTGATTTACCTGGATTTCTAATTTTAAAGCACCTCTCCTTGACGTAGCAGGACTGCAACACACAAGGTGTGAAGTCACTAGTGAATGCTATAGATATGCTCACAGTTGTACAAAATTAATTTTCTATTGGTATAAATTGGTGCACTACAAAATCTTCTGGAAAAATACATTTGAAAAGCACAAATCATGTATCAATTTCAAAGGCACAAATCATATATTTTAATATGGGGACTTGGAATGTGTTTCGTTCAAGTTGAGTCTTAAAAAGAATGTCAACGGTGTATCAGAAGTGAATTAAAGTGTACAGCAACAAGAATGCACTTAACGAGCTACAAATTTATTTTTAAAAGATCTTTTGTTTATAAATTTTGTTGCTGGGTAGATTTTTTTTCACAGAAAAAGAAAATGTGCAAACTAAGCTTAAGAACTCCTTACAGTTGTCTCCGCCTACCATTGACTGAAGAGTTTGGAATTCCAGCAGAGCTATCTTTGAATGTTTTCTTGGAATTTATTAAATTACTAGGAATGATTTGATATTTGTTTTATTTTTGGTAGTTATGTAAATTTAAGTATGCAAACAACCTGTTATAATGTACATATTCTCTTATCTTCTTGCTGGTGCCACACTGCAAGAATGTTTTATATATTTCTTTGTTTGCATGTATGCAAGCATGCACCATTGAAAAGAGTCAAGCAGATTGAAAATTTATAAGTTAGCTAAGATTATATAAGAATTAAATAGACCAAAGTTTTCTATGTACACAATACCCATGACCAACTATTCACTTATTATGTGATATTTCTTGTTTACGCCAAAATTTTTAAGAAGTAAATTCCTTTGACGTATGTGTGTGTGTGTGTTTAGAACACGTAAATAAACCAAACAGGCTGTGACCCAGAGAGCATTTTAACTGTATATAATACGTATATAGGTTTACCTAGTTAGGTCACCAAGTTGAAAATCTATCGGTCATTTTGAGTTAGTGATTTAAGGTGTGTTTATCAGTTCTAAGCCGCCCAAATAGTAATGATCTGGAGCATTAATTAAAAGTACTTGTACTTCCACTGTTAATAGTAGGTTAAGAAAAAGTCTTTGCATGGTTACTAATTCTAAGCTATTTGTTGTGAGGAGCACATAAGCTGTATCTATAGTGAAATAAGAAAAACTCAGTGAAGTGTAAGGAATAGTTGTAGTAAATGGCTGTCACAATTTTTTTTTAAAATATATATCATGAAAAAAACACATGGGCACACACACACACACAAAAGGTTAACAAAATCAAAGGTGAAAAGTGGATCTATCTCTTTAAGTTTTCAGCTGTTAACAACGAGCTAACATAGTGTCCCGGGGACTGACCTGATTATTTTTTATATTTTATTGCAGGTGTAGAAAGTTTACAAGTAACTGGCTGCTCCATCTTTTCTGAAACACAACAATTCTATTAATAAATACTGTTGAACTTAATTCTGGAATTCACTTATTTTTGCAAATTCTAGTAGTAGAGTTTTAATATTTCATAGTTGCTCCATTTTAACCATTTTAAGGGACAGTAGTTAATGTTGATTAATTAAAAATGTTTTCGTATGCTAAAATCAATTCAAATTTAATCATTTAAAAGGGTGATTGAAACACTAAGAAAAGTTCTTTTTTACATGCGAAGAGAAATGAACATTTTGTGCAACACTGAAGTTAAATATATACCATGAACATGATAATGGTAGCTGGGACATTTATCAAAGTTGAGGCAATTTTAGCGACCCAGTTCATGGTTGTCAAAGGTAAACAACAATAAGCATAAACATTCCCCATGTTTACATTAGTAGATTTCCCATTGATTTATGTAGAATAACAAAAACAGGGCTTAATTGTGTGGAAGAGTCATTTATATATGTGAATTCATTGACCAATATTCCATGATGTGTGGATGTAAAGGTCCTTCCCATTGGTTAAGACACAAAGGAGGGAGGGGAAGATTGATGCTTTGTTTACATCATTTCAGCCCCTATAGTGATACTTGTACTTCTGAAAGCTGTTGTTGCCATGTTTACTCCCACACTTCTATATGCCTCATCTAGATAGTTGCTTTAATTTAGCTTGTCCTTTTGCTACCAGCATGCTCTGATCAGTTGACTGCATTGAGAGAGAGAGAGAGGAGAGAGAGAGAGAGAGAATTAAGCTATCAGATTATTAAATTACAGGTATTGATTTTTATAGGACATGAATTGGTCAGAAGATGAACAAAACCTGTCCAGCTTTGTCCACAGACCAACAAAATGAGGCCTTATTGGAAATCCATTCATCTCAGCTGATCAACATTATGGAGACAAAGGTCCTGCTGATTATGCAGGTAATTTCCCAGCGGGCAAATGACGTCTTTAAAACGTCTTTAAAACGTTGGACCAAGACGTTGAAATGACGTTGAAAAGATATTGAAAATGAAAGTTTTTTAGACGTCATTTTCATACGTCCCCTAGACGTCATTTTATAGACGTTGCAATGACGTTGTATAGTAGTTGATAATGAAAGTTTTCTCGACGTCATTTATTCACGTCCTTGAGACGTCATACAAGACGTTGCATTAACGTTGTAAAAACGTCGTTTTAACGTGATAGAGACCTTTTTTCTGCAATCTTCAAATAAGACAGTTTAAACTTTATATCCGTGACAATCAAAACTACACTGCATTTCAAGTGACAGCCTAAAGAGTAACAATCTTGTAAAATTAAAACAATAGTACATTTGTGATCATTTTATTATTGAAAAAAAAAAATACACTAAATAAAAAGGTTTATCATTTGAACACACAGTAATGGTTATTCCCATAGAATTTTTTTTATGATCCTACAAAATCTCTTCTTTCAATTTTTATAAATCTGATAGCACAGAATATATACTTAAATATTCTGAAATTCTTACAGGCTGCTTCAACAGATGCATATCTTGGATATCATATTCTTGACATGAGAAATCAAATATAATGAAAGTATGTTACTTAAAAATAGCAGTACTAACACACACAAACAATGTTAATTAAGGACTTTTCAATTTGCATGAAATTGCTAAATTTGAATGAAAAAATAGTATTTATGTATGTATAGTTTTAATAAAAAGAATACAAAAAGCTAGCATATATAAATCTTAACGTTCAGGTAATCAAGGCCAAATAAAAAATGTGTTTCCATTAACATGCTTAAAAAAATTTTGGGAAGGTATGTAGGCAATATTTTGGAAGCATATCAGTTAATTGTTCAATTGGCTCTTTTTTGTCATATATACATACACAAATATTCATGAATAAACATAGACAACAAAACAAGTTCACTCTTTAAAAAGCTTGTATAGATGTATGTTTTACAGTATCTGAGACATGCATTTAACTGACTGCACTATGAGAAAACTGTACCAGTGAACAAAAGTAAAGCTCAAAATTCGGATTTAGAATAAAAAGTGGTGGGGAGTTGGAGGATAAAAATTAGGGTTGATCGAGTTACTGGAAACACACATTTTTTTAAGCTTAATCAGAATTTTCAGCTGCCTCTTTCCCTCTCCCTCCCCCGCCTCTCCTATCTGGGGCATACTTCAAGACTGCAGCAATGTTTTGGATAATATCATGTTCTGTTGCTTGAAATCGCTTCAAGACCGCACCTGAAAAAAGAAAAAAAATTAGTTAAGATGAAAATCATATGACATCATCATTTATACAATTTTTCTATAATCTGACCCCCCCCATCCCCCCCCCCCCCCCCCCCCCCCCGGGTTGTTTGAATAATTTACAAAAACTTCAAAATATCTCTATACCTTTGACAATCTCACATAATTGGGATTTGGCAAATGGTTCCTTCCCTTTATGGCCCTTCATATTGAACTTTGCCATTAGGTCATTGGACATCACTCTGTAATGTGTAAACAAATAAAACCATGATTGAATCTAGAATGAGTAATCGTTTGTACCTCAACTGATTCTGAATTAGAAAGCAGCAAATGTAAAAGTGTTAGAGAACATAAAGTGAATACAAGATGACAGTACTGAATACTTACTTTTGCAAAATTTTCTTTGTGCCATCCCTGGCACTGATACCTCCAACACTTGACAACCTCTGTGTCTAAAACGCAAAAAGATATGTTTTGAAATACTACCTGCCAGACAATTGTGACAAATTTATTTTCAAATAAATTAATTTGCTCTTCTGGTAAACTTATTTTTATTTTAAAAAGACATTTTTTTTTATAATTCCCCTCATTAAAATCAAATATGTTTACTAGCTTGTGGCGTTCCCCACTATTTTCTTTTAACTTTTCCTCTAAAGTGTCAAATTCTCCAATGGTGGTCAGTTGCTGGAGAGTTTCCCCATCATCACTCAGGGTGGAACTAGGGGCTTTCAATGCCTTTATCTCTTGTCTAATTTCCGTGAGGAGAAACATAACTCTCTTCTGAAATTCTAATATCAAATTTATACTTATTAAAAATCATCCTTGAAATTATAACAATATATGGTATGGAGCAACATAAGGGTTACTCTCTCAGTCTCTGTATGGTAACATATACTTACTTGCATTATCCATTGGGAATGTATCCTTTTTTGAGCTTTTTTCTGGGGATTTTGACCTCGAACGCCTCCTGCTCCCACTTTCAGACCTGTATCTTGGCTTTTTGCTGTTGGATTTAGTGGGAGAATTTGACCTGCTTCTGTATCTTGTGGATTCTTTTGTCCTTTTAGATGGCCTTTCTATTCTCCTCTTCTCTTTTGCTATGGGACTAGGGCTACAAGATTGAGTGGGAGAATTTGACCTGCTTCTGTATCTTGTGGATTCTTTTGTCCTTTTAGATGGCCTTTCTATTCTCCTCTTCTCTTTTGCTATGGGACTAGGGCTACGAGATTGAGTGGGAGAATTTGACCTGCTTCTATATCTTGAGAATCCTTTTATCCTTTTAGATGGCTTTTCTATTCTCCTCTTCTCTTTTGCTATGGGAATAGGGCTCAGAGATCTTGAAAAACTTTCCCTTGCAAACCAGTCTGAGGAACTATGTCTTGATCTGCTCCTGTACCTTGGAATTCTTTGTTCTTTGTTGTCATTTCTGTTTTTATCAGATTGTTTTTTTCTAGACCTGTTTTCTAAACTCTTTGAGGTACCACGTGAAGATTCGGATGAAGATGAATCTGACGAAAAGTTTCTTGAGCGATCACTTTTATCCATGGATTTAGTTGTATGAAATTTTGGTGGTGGTGTGGGCAATACAAGACTTTCTAAAGATATACCAAGAATCTACATGTATTTATCATGTTACATTTTCCTTTGTCTTTGAAGTGTTGCTAAATTTATCTTGTAAATATTTAAATAAATAATAAAAGAAATTGTAAATTTTACATTTAAATCTTGTATTACCATTCTTTTCCTTAGAATTTTTTCTCTCTTTTGTTACTTGAACTTTTCCTTCATCTCTGGCCCCAGCTTTAAAACAAAGAAATATTCAATTTGACATCCATATTACAAAATAGAATTTAATATTCTAAAATACACATTCAACTTATATGATGTTATAAAAAGAGATACACCTACTTTTATTTTCTTGCTCCTTTTTCTGTCCCTCTTCTGCAGAGTCACCTAGTTTTTACAAAGATTAAAATCACAGTTAATAATGAATTAATATTAAAATTATCTTTAACATAATATTACAGATATAATCATGTCCTTACTAATGGGCAGATTTTTTTTAAAGCAGAATATCTTCTATTCACGATATCAATTAATAACTTACAGTGATCATCAGTTATGAAATCAGCAAAATTTTTCTTCTTTTTCTGTCTTTTTTCTGACTCCTGGTCCACATCAGTGTCTATACAAGTGGTGATGTCATGGTTTTCACACTCCTCGAAATTCTCTGCAAGTAAAAATATATCACAATAGCTATTAAAAGTATTATCAATAGTGAACCAAGAAATTTTGTTATTAGTACAAAATTTAATAGTTAGCATTACAGATTTAAGTGATGTTTACATTGCCAATTTCATGCCTCATTTTTAAACCTCAATTGAACATTTATTTCAATGAGGAATTTCAATGTTTCATAATACAATTATATCATTGGGCCATCATTAAAATTTTTGTTGTTTGATGTACTCTGGCACATATTTCTCAAGCTGTATAACATGTATAAGTATGCAGGTGTCTTGTATCAAACATTTTACTACATACCAGATTGGTGTTTAACCTTGATCAACTTAAATCTCCGCCATGTATCTTGTGGCTCTTTCTTTTCTCTTAGGGCCTTTGCTGCACTCACACCTGGTGGCCACATCACCATACCCTCCCTTATCCATGATGATGGTATTACTCCTTCCTCCTCATGATCTCTTTCCAGCCACACAGCTCTGGACCACATTCTAATTTTTAAGATAATCATCACAAAACTTATATATAATATATATACATTGAATAATTTAAACTTTCCAGTAAATCCAGGAATACAAATAAGTAATTTAAAAAAAATGTTAGTGTAACAACAGAAATAAATAATGCATTTCGACATTAGTTTACTTGCCTATGAATCTATTAATGATCTACTTCAGGCCCATGCAGTAGTGGAAAAAGAACATATCCTTGATGATACTTTATACATGCAACCTTCCTAATGATATCTTTATGCTTGATCACTTTGTGAACTCCTCTATGGAAATTTCGAATATACACAATGTTTATAAGTTTTGAATCGCATGGAGTCCTGAAAAAATTTTCTGTTCTTGACTGTGGTATCACAGTACAAATGAAGGAATCTTCTTCTGTTTTTTCTAATACAAATCCATAGCTTTCATCCTCCATCTGAAAACACCAATTCTTTTTTTTTGGAGACACAAATATTCTGTTCGTTGTTCTCGCATTGCCCTTTCTGTTTCCTGCCATCTCAATTTCAGTCAGTCGTTTGCAAACTTGAACAATTGGACTTCTCGCATTTCTTACTAATCGTTTTATGGTTTGGAGATGATTTTCATAAGGAAAGCTAGAAATCTCATTTAAGGAGCATTTAAAGTTTCTTACATCTTCTGGTAAATGCTTCAAGCAATGTACATTGTACACGAGGAATGTCTCTGAGTAAATTTCAATACTTTTATCAACAAAGTAATTGATTAGCTGCTGAGCATACTCCAGATATGCCCATCTCTTATGCTGATCGCTATTAAGAAGAATAGACATTGCAACAGTCAAGCAAAGAAAATGTTCATACATTATCTCTGTAACGACGTTCTTTAAAACAACAGGGCCTGTGTACAACAAAAATTGTCTAAATTCAGTGGCTTTCCATCTTTCAACTTCAAACACGGATCTTGGTTGTCGAGCAAACTCACTAGGTAGTTTTCCAGAAAGGGACTGCAATTTCATTGAAATGTCAGACATCTTTTGGTAGGAAAGTCTGCAAATAGTTGGCCCCTGCTTTAAAAAGTAAATAATTCTTTTGACAACTCCTAGGCATACAAGGTGCATGTAATCTAAACAAAATGTTTTGACACACTGGATGCCATGTTCAATTAAAGGACTGACACTTGTTTGGTGATTGTCATAAGCAACCAATGAAAACTCTGCATCTGTCCTTGAGGAACATTCATCCTTTGAATACAAAATAATTCGATTATTTTTCCAGTATCCTTTAACTGTGCATCTTTCACAAGCATAATAACCAGTGTGCCCCTTGATCCCTTTTAACAGGGCTCTAGCTGGTGCATCACAAATAAATGCTTTAATATTTAGTTTGATGTTTACTCTAGCATCCTCAAGCTGTAATCCATTAGTTTTTAACCGAGAATATTCCTCTAGAAAGTCTTCCAAAAATTCGGACACAGAACTGGGTTTGCTATTTCCATAAAATATTGCAACTAAAAAGGGTTTAAAATTTCCAAAACTGCAAAGAATTGGCCAAAACTGCATTGAGGATGACTTAAAGAGAGGAACCCCATCAATGTTAATATTCAATTCAACAGAATTTAGGTTTTGGGAAACACAATCTTCATTATCTTCGATTACATTTTTTATCCCTAATTCCAGGCCAAAATATTTGTATTGCCCTCCACATTTTTCTTCAACAGTTATGCTTCTTGGTGTTTTTTGAAGAGTTCTAGAGTCTTTTGGAACTGGTAATCCTTCTTCCCGTAACATGACCAATAGCTCATTCGTAGACTTTCTGGTATGTTTATTTCTTGAACACCAAGAAGCTAGTTTTTCTGTGAATGGTATCTGTTCATTTTCCTCGAGTACTTCATGAAATTCCTCCTCTGAATCGGATGAAAGTGGTTCATCTTCATAAGAAATTTCCAAGTGAAAATCTGAAATTTCTGTCTCATCATTGGCACCTCTTCCTTCACTTCCACAGCTTGAATATTCACTACTTCTTTCTTCATTGCCATCACTATTAGGTTCACTATCTGAATCTTGTTGAGCTAATGCCTCAGCTTCTGCATGTATTTTCCGCCAGCGTCTCAGGTACATTGTTCCACTCAATAAAAAGTTAAAAGCTTTTCAAGAATTTAAAAAATTGGAATGAGTAAACATAATACAAAATATAACAATAATGGAAAAGATAAGGCTACATAAATTTAATTCTCTGGTTCTCAGGCCAATTTTCTCCAAAACAGATGTGGGCAGGAGCCCTTTTTTTTCCTTTATTTTATTGATGATAAAGTAGATGAGAGAGGTATTTTTTTAATACCCAGATTTTCTATACAATTATGATAAAAATTCTTTGTTCATGATATACTTTCCACGTCTGATCAATAGGTTTGCATTATCCATTGCTTATCAACGTGTGAACATCATTAGCATTATCTTCAAGTGTATTTTTAAACAAAGTAGCCAAGTTTTCTTCGAAAATGGCTAACGGAAGCAATATTTGAATACTAAACTACAAGAAAATGAGGACGGAACTTTTTTTCCGGATGTCTCCGCATTACCAACTTTTTATTTTATCAAAAATACGATAAAATTTGGAATGCAGCTACTTCAAAATGAATATGCGAGGGCTTGAGAACCGTAATTTCAATTTTATATAGCCCAATGTTTCAGATGTATACTTTTAACAGCCTCAAAAATCAGGGGCTGACAAATCCCATTGCTCGATGCCCGGGGCTAGTGAATTTTAAGGGTGGGCGAGTGAAATTTTATCAACCACTTGCCCGTGGGCAAGTGACTTGAAAAAAACAAAATCCATATTTAACTCATAGACTTAGAGCTTTGCACAGGGGTTTGCAGGATCTACTCAGTATTTGTCTTCCTTTTTTTTTGAATATATAAATTTTTAAAGTATGATAATAGTTTATGGTGGGGCAAGCAAATATTCAGGTAGTGAATTTTGACCATGCACTTGCCCTTGGACAAGTGCCTAAAAATCTATTTGTCAGCCCCTGTAAATTAAAGCAATGGACTAAAATAAACTTGCTTGCTGGAAATCTAAATTCTCAGAATTGACTCTGTATTTAAAATTCCTTTAAAATTCCTAAAAATATTCAAATTGTCTGAAAAAATACTAGTATCAGACATACTGCCTGATGAGAATGTTACATATATATTCTAATTTCTTTTATCTCAATATTGAGGCCTTAACACAATATGGAAAAAGCCCTTTACTGGGGAAAAACAAACTACATCAGTTGTATGTAAAGACCATACATCAGTGTACCTTAAGTTCTATATTTTCACAACTGAAATTAAAGCAGAAATTTCAATTTTCAAGTTAAAATTTTGCATTGTTTTGCACGCTTAAATTTTTACTGAATCAAATATATATACACTGCCTTGCATTACAAATTACGATATGAAAATTTTTAAATTGGCCACATTCATTTTTCAAATTGGGCTTGGAAGGAAGGGGGAGGTGCGAAAAAATCTACTAATATGTTGTCTACTTTGATGGGTTGCAATATTACAAAAGAAGTATTTTTTTATTGTTATGCATTTGTGCGTTTTTGAAGGGTGGCACAGCTGGGGGTAGGGGAAGGTGCTCCAGCAATAAAATGCACTTCTGGTAACCCTATTTTAAACACTCATACTTTTATTAGAGCTATCTGAGGATCAAATTAGAAAATAAGTCATTTATCCCATAATAAGATCACATATTGACGAAATAGGGCCTATCAAGATTCCTGCTACATTTGATTTTCCTTATCTAGGTCACAAAAACAAATAACATGCACTCTAGTCTAGCATTATATTGACGTGCACTAAACTAATTATAGCGAGCGCAGCGAGCGGCGCGAAGCGCCGCTCGTCACTGCGAGCTCTAACGACAACGCCTGGGCGAAGAGAAAATTCGGACTACTGCACATTCATTCAATAGAATTTTTTTCCGCAGTAATTCTGACCCACAATGCATCGCTTCTTGTTCTCGCTGCTAACTTCGTTCACGCGGTGACAACAACTAAAAATTCACACAAAATAAACTCACCTTAAGTTAATGGAAATTGCCTGCAGATAGTAGATTAAACGTTCTTTGTTAAAATATTTGCACTTTTTAAACTTTGTTTATGGAAATGCAGCTAACATACGACGTCATGTGACGTCACAGTCTAGACGTTCCAAATGTCTCGTGCGGTTTGAAGAGGCGGATCATAATAATGAAGTGAACACTGCGCTCGCCCCAACGGTCGCACCGTCAACATATTAGTAGTATTTGTAACAAGCAAATAAACAGACAGTAAAATGTGCACATTACAAACTAACTTACCTTGTTTTACGCCAGTTAAACTGTTTAAAATTCTTCCACTAATGCCGGTCTTTGTGTACAGATTCCCGCGCGTATACTCATCTGATCGCGCACACGCTTTTCATGATATCATATTTTAACAGAATTTCAAGCGAAAAGATGACCAAGATGGCGTTTTAAAACTCTTCTTTCCAAATGCACATTTGAAAATACGTATCGTGGACAGAAAATGTCGTTAGTGTAAATAATTACTCAAAAAACGAAAGTATAACAAACAAATTCAAATTCATTAACTCGTACACGCACTTCTTCGATGATACATGGAAATCGCGATCCCGATGTTAATAAGACGTTTCTTTGACGTCTGTTTATTTTTCGTTTATAGTTTTATGAAATACTCGAAATGATTTTTTTCAAACAATTAATTTTTAATTATGACAACAGAAATGAAATCAACAGGAGATAATACATGTGTTGAGGACGTTTTAACCGCGTCGATTAAGGTAATTTAGATGATAGTAATAATTAAGATGGTAATCGTAATAAGAATATACGTCTAAAAGACGTGTTTACAACGTCGGACCGGTTTTATGATAAATTAATAAAAATGACTAAGTTATAAATCACCATCAATGTACGAACATTCTAATTCACGTTCGTATACGTCCGAACACCAAAATGAAAAAAATAATTTA